TTGCACTGCGTGTCCAGCTTAGAATGTCTAATTTTGGTTTGATTGCTTGTGTTACATGAGAAAATAAATAATTTTGCCTACCTGATGTAATAGATTTAATGCGGGTGCGGTTCGGGTAGTTTTTCAATTATTTTGTCATTTTTATTTTATTTCAGTTTACAAAATAGTTTTTTCATCAATCGTTCTTGTCTTAGTTTTAGTTTTCGTTTACGTTTACGAAAATAACCTTGGCTGTCACTTTCATACCTAATGTTAACAATGATAATTAATTAGGCTTCGTTTACAAAATAGTTTTTTCATCAATCGTTCTTGTCTTAGTTTTAGTTTTCGTTTACGAAAATAACCTTGGCTGTCACTTTCATACCTAATGTTAACAATGATAATTAATTAGGCTTATTGTTAATGTTAACAACAAAAGGCAAAATCACTCACTGCTCTTGACTGAATAACTTTTGTAACTTTAATTTTAAGAATTAATCTGTTTAATTTACAGTGAATTTACTGTTTTTAATTTACAGTTTATTCCATTTCTGCAGCATTTCTGTACCTGAATGTTTTCCACCAAAGCTGTTTCTAAAACGAAATTCAGGTCCTAAGTTTAATTTATAATACTGGCTAAGCAAATTACAATATACTTAACATTCTGGCATTCAGTTATGCGATTATGTAGCCTAACTTATGTTCTCTGCATGAAGTAACGTCTGGCACAGTTGCAGCATGTGCTTATTAGAAAGCAAACAAATAGCATTAATAATCATTAATTTTCCTTAGCATATGCTATGATAAATCTGAAAATTTGTGTAAAATAATGGAGCATTAGGTCATGAATATTGCCTTAAAAGTCATTGAAATTTATTGGTTGAACGAACCCTGCATTTAATGAGTGAATGCCTACGATATAGGAGTTAGCCTATCACACAAACTAGAGTCCTGTTTTTCCGAATATCTGCACAATGGCAAATGTACAATAAACAGACACAAAATTCTGTTTTGCTCCGAGCAACAGTGTTTTGTTTCTCAGCATTACACGGACCAGTAAATGGTTCAAACAGGCTATTAGTACAGTCCTTTGCTAAGTTAAATGAATTAGCATTTTAAACAAATCGGTTGATTTA